TAACTCTCGCCTGAGCGCCGCGCACACTCGTCCTACATACTTGCAAGAATTTTCACGGCCGGAAGGCGGTCCGCGTTCAAAATGTGGCTCTCGCCTTAGCGCCGCGCAAACTCGTCTTAAGAATGTGCCATAAGTTTGAAGGATCTTCGCTAGCGCCCCAGAGATGGCTTTGGGCACAATGTCTGAATGTCAGGGCGCAACAGTCACATTGAATCGCGGTGTTGAAGTCATCGGAGTGGCGTTCTGGCACAATTCAGAATCGTCAAGACGCAACCGTAACGGTGTTTCGCGGCGTTGAAGTCCCGGGGATGGTGTTCTGGCACAGTCCCAGATGTTCAAACATTTGTCTTCCAATGGGCCACTTCCCTCAGTGAAAATGAATCCGAGTAGGAGCCAAAAGGATGGAACTTGGAGGGAAGGATTATTGCATTATCGTTGATGGGTCTTGGTTTACCCTGGTCCTCCTCTTCATTCTCATCATCATAATGTCATAATCGTCTGCGTTAACATCCTTATCCTTATCATCATCCTCATTCTCATACTCATCCTCGTCCTCCTCCTCATCGTCATCATCCTCATCATCATCAGGATCAACATCATAATCCTCATCATCATCATCAGCATCATCATCAGCATCAGCGTCAGCATCAGCGTCATCAGCATCATCAACATAATCATTACCAGCAGCATCAACATTCTTATCATCCTCCTCATCATTACCACCACCACCATCATCACCATCACCACCATCATCAGCATCAGCATCGTCATCATCATCACCATCATCAGCAACACTTCCTCCTCCTCCTCCCCCTCCTCCTCATCAGCATCATCTCAACATCTCCCTGTCAGGCTTCTTCCACCCTGGCCGCTGGCATTCCCGCCCTCCCCCCGGGCGCGCCGACGCAGAAGGCCAGCAGGTAGGTGCCTCGGACGGCCGCCCCAGGGGGGCAAGAGCATACTGGCCAGCGGGGTTGCCGGGGCTGGCAGCAGGACCGGCGAGCCTGGACGGGCCCAGCCGACGGCGCCGGGCAGGGCCGATGTCTCCAGGCGAGCAACTCAACCAGCCGCTGCGTGTCACAGGTGGCCTCGCTGTGCTCGCGAACAGCCAGCCACTCGCGAACAGCCAGCCACTCGCGGCTGGACCTTGCACACCACGGGGTTACCACTCGCTGGGGCTCGGCGGGAGCGCCGGGGCTGGCAGCAGGAGCCCGGGCCCCTCGGGTTAGGTCGGGCATGCTTTCAGGCGAAAAACTCAAAAATACTTCAAACATACCTAACAGCACTCAAAACATACTCAAGAAATCGTCCCCAGACTATCTTTTTGACTATCTTTGAACATTCCTCCCGTAGAGGGACGGGCCCGTTTTCACCCTTGGGTCACGAAGCATCGCGACGGGGGGCTCTTGGAGATCTTCGGGGGTCTGGCAGTTCGGAGGGGCGGCAGCCCCCCGAGGCTCCCGAGGGGGGATCCGGGAGCGAAGGCAGGAGAGCTCCCCAGAGCTCACGTGCGCCACGAGCTGTGCATACACATATATATATATATATGTGTGTGTGAGTGTGAGTGTGAGTGTGTATGTGTGTGCATACGCACATACATTTACATATATATATATATAAATATGTGTGTGTATACACACATCTATCTATACATATATTGAGGTGCACCCACCGTTCGGAAGATGTAGGCAGAAGCATGAAGTAGGAAAGCGGAAGAAAAATATTGCGCTCTGGGCCGCCCAAAAAAAACAGCAGCTACAACTCCCCCGCCGCCTTTCGGTCGCTCGGCCCCGCGGCTGGCCCCATGCCTTGGTTTTGCGTTTGTTTTTTCTTCTTAGTTTTCGCTTGTCCGTCGGCTGCACGGGTCGCCCCAGGCTCGCCCGCCGAGCGTGGCGGCGGGCGAGCCTGGGGCGACCAGTGCAGCCGACGGACCAGCGAGAACAAACAAAAACAAACACAAAACCAAACAATGGGGCCAGCCGGGGAGCCGAGCGACCGCGGGGCGGCGGGCGAGCCTGGGGTGACCAGTGCAGCCGACGGACCAGTAAAAACAAACAAACATAAACACAAAACCAACTTATGGGGCCAGCGGGGGGGCCGAGGGATCGCGGGGCGGCGGGCGAGCCTGGGGCGACTAGCGCAGCCGACGGACCAGCGAAAACAAACAAAAACAAACACACAACCAAAAAATGGGGCCAGCCGAGGGGCCGAGCGACCGCGGGGCGGCGGGCGAGCCTGGGGCGACCAGTGCAGCCGACGGACCAGCAAAAACACACAAAAAACCAAACAAAACAAAGGAATTGGGCCAGCCGAGGGGCCGAGCGGCCGAAAGGCGGCGGGCGGGCCTGGGGCGACCAGTGCAGCCGACGGACAAGTGAAAACCAACAATAACACAAGAAGCCAAGGAATGGGGCCAGCCGAGGGGCCGAGCGACCGAAAGGCGGCGGGCGAGCCATGGGGCGACCAGTGCAGCCGACGGACCAGCGAAAACTAACAAAAACAAACAGAACCAAGGAATGGGGCCCGCCGAGGGGCCGAGCGACCGCGGGGCGGCGGGCGAGCCTGGGGCGACCAGTGCAGCGGACGGACAAGCAAAAACAAACAAAGACAAACACAAAACCAAGGAATTGGGGCCAGCCGAGGGGCCGAGCGACCGAAGGGGAGCGGGCGAGCCTGGGGCGACCAGTGCAGCCGACGGCCAAGCGAAAACAAACATAAACAAATTCTTGAAATAGGAAGGCGCTTAAAGTAGATTGGGATCTGGAAATCCAAGAATACCTACTTTCAACGACCGATGGGTGTATATATATATATATATATATAGTTGTAAGTATGTGTTACACACGTCATAAACTATACAAATACATTCAAGACACCCGTCGACGACTTTTGCCTGTACCTTCAGGGAGGGTGGCGGTGTACAAAGCCGCTGGCTCTCGGTGGTGAACTGCACACCGCCATTCTCCCCTGAGGCTCAGGACAAATCCCATTGCAGGCCGGGCCAGGTCGGGATCGCTGGCGTGCGGGGGCCGCGCGCGCCCCACCAAAAAGTGGAGGCGGCATTGGAAGACCACGAAATTGTACGCACTGATCTTGGAACGCATTTGCCCGGGCAAGCTTCCGAAGCTTGCCAGCAAGCTTACCGGCACGCTCCTGGAGGGTGTCCGTGTACCTATTCTCGTGGCGGCTGCCCTGTGCCCCAATCCAATCGCCAGTGGCGTGAGCGGGCGCCGCCGATCCAGTGCACGCGGCGCGGGCTTCTCTGCGAAGGCAAACAAAAGCTCTGAACTGGTCTGCCGGCGGCGAGCGAGAGGGGGAAGTGAGAAGGAGACGGCCTTCTCAGAAGGCGGCGGGGCTTCTCAGAACCCCTCGCGCCCTATGAGAAGTTCTCTGTGTCCTCAGGGGGGGCTTTGAACATTGCTCGCAAGGACAAGGGACTTCCGAGCCTTCTGAGAAGGCCCGCCCGCCCCTTCTCGCTTCCCCCCCCCTCGCTCGCCGCCGAGCCTGGGAAAGACCGCCCCAAGTCCAGCGCTGGATCCCCCCCCCCCTCGAGCCCCTGGTCCTCTGGCCCGGGGCGCGTCCTGGCCGTGTGTGTCGGGGCGGACCCAGGTCGTGGCCACGGGGGTGCCCCAGAGGTTCCAGGGATGCACAGGCACACCAGGTCCCGTCGGTCGGAGGAAGTGGGTCGAAACTTGAAGTTGGAAAGCGCTAGAAGTAGATTTGCATCCCCGCTCGGAAGAAGTGTCCCCCCCAGCCGGCACTGTTTTGAACAACCGATTTGGGCCTCCGCCCAACCCCTAAAGAGGAGGGAAGAGGGAAAGCCGCTCGACCCTTGAAGCAGGAAGGCGCCCAAAGTAGGTTGGGATCCGGGAGTCCAGACATGTCTACTTCCAGCGACCGACGGGCACGCCCAGCACACATCCAAAACCATCGATCGCTGTGGCGCCCAGGCATGCCCGCTGATATAGTCAAGCATCGCCGGATACCACCTCGACCAGACCTCTGCGACCACCCCCCCGGTGGTTCCCCAGAGAAGCCTCGCCCGCGTCCCACCCTCCTCAACCTGGAGAAGTCGCTGCTGCCCCGCCTGCCCCCATCGTCCTCATCCTTCCCTTCCTTACTCCTCCTTACTTTCGTCAGTAACTCATCCTTGCCCCCCCGCGCTGACCATTGGTCCTTCTTCACGCGTCCTGCATCCCTCGTCCCTCCTCCTCCTCCTCCTGCTCCTCGTCCTTCTCCCTTCTCCATCATCCCTCCATCATCCCTCCTCCTCCTCCGTTGCCACATGCCCCGCCTCCTCCTTCTCCTCCTCTTCCTCCTCCTCATCCTCCTCCGCCTCCTCCTCCTCCTCGTCCTACCTCTCTCATCCCTTCTCCCAACTCCGTCGTCCTCTGTCCTCTTCACACCACCTCCTTCCCTCGTCCGGCCCAACAATTCACCATCCCGCCTCCCTTCTCCTTGCCCCCGCCCCGCAAGGAGTTCGGGAGGCGCACGAAGCGGATTTTCAACGTGGACCCCCTCCTCGCCATCCTCCTCCTCCTCCTCCTCCTCCTCCTCCTCATCCTCCTCCTCAGAAACCCAGCTCATGGTCTGATGGAACGGGCGAGGGGGAAGGGCTAAGTTCATGCTATCGCTGCCTGCGCTCGGCAAAACCACTGGAACCACGGTAAAGAGCTCATTGAGGTTAAAAGGGGGCGAGCGAACCCTGATACATGGTATAAAGAAACAGAAGAGGGAAAGGGCAAATCGACGGGGAGGTGAGAACGCGCAAGTCACCAGCACCGATCCCTACGTCATGAACTGAGGCAACTCCCGCCGCGCACCTGGAGAGCTAGGAACTAGGAGTCCCGACGGTGCTTGCGCTGCCAGGTGCGCCTGGATAGCCTGGGCAGGACCGATTGATTTCTCCGAGCGAGCAACTCACCAGCCGCTGCGTGTCACGGGTGGCCTCGCTATGCTCGCGAACAACCACTCGCGACTGGACCTTGCAGACCGCGGGGTTACCACTCGGTGGGGCCGTAGTCTTTCAGGAAGCACCCTGAGAGGGGTAATTTGCATCCGTCCTCGCCGCCCAGCTTGCCGGTGGACACGGCTCGCACCCCAAGGACGACAGGGTCCAGAATGCGCGCCGCGGCATCCACCTCATCTATGGGCGTCTGGAAACCGTGCTCCTGGGCGATGCGCTGTGCCGTCGGCAAAGGGTTCTCGTCGTTGATCCAACCAGTGTCCACGCTGTTCATGAAAATCCCGCTGCTCTTTGCAAGGTCCTCCGCGCTGGTGCGCGTCATCATGTTTAGGGCTGCCTTTGCCATGTTAGTATGCGGATGTGTCGGCTGCTTCCAACGGTAGAACTTCCCCTCCATCGCCGACACGTTGACAATGTACCTGTCCGCGCGTGGGGAACGCTCCAGGAGAGGTCTCAGCCGGCTGTTCAGAATGAAGGGCGTGAGGGCGTTGATGCAGAAAACCTCGACCGCCTCTGGCGTGGCCACCTCTAAAGAATTGGAACATAAACATCGGCATGCAATTAGAAATCACCCGTCAAGGGACGCACACATCGTTCATGTCTCAGTCTTCTCAGGCCGAACGTTGCTGATTATGAGTAGCTCGAGATCAAAGGGCTGATGCAGCAACACAAAAGCACATTATAATCAGTGGCGGAAGGAGGTCGGGCCCTGGAAAGCAAGCTTCTTCTAAAGTCAAGCTGCTGCAAGAAGGAACGCTAAGTAAGGAACCAAGCCCCCCTTATGGCGCCAACAGCGCCTGGGTGCACGAGGAGGGCTAGAGGAACAACCACGGAAGGACCTGAGGAACAGCGAGCCCCCTCGAAGCGGCAATCATTTGAACGCCTTGCCTACAACGTACGAGGGTGTCAACGATGTGACCCGTGCGTGTGTGCGTGCGTGTGCGTGTGCGTGTGCGTGTGCGCGTGCGTGTGCGTGTGCGTGTGCGTGTGCGTGTGGGTGTGGGTGTGTGTGTGTGTGCGTGTGTGTTAGCAACCGAGCCCAAAACGACGTGACGTTCCCGAGGCGGGCCGCGGGCTGGAGCCTGGGCGCCCCAACGAGTCGTGCTTCTGGGCCCCGGGTGGCCCGGAGCTCTAGGACCAGACCCTTGCGACGGACTGCGAGCCAGCGCGCGGATGCGGCAACCTTGGCAAGACGGCCCCGCAACCTGCGACGTCTGCACGGACCTCCAGTAGGCCCCTCCTCTTGCCGAAGGTCTTGGCCCGCGAATGTTCCACCAGGGATCCTCACCTCCCTTCCGCAGCGGCATCTCTGGCCAGACCAACCTCACTCGAGCATCAACCTGCAAGGTCTCGGGGGCCCGAAAGGCTGCTCCAGAGTCCCGAGCCAGACAAATCGTCCGACGCATGTCTTCTGGTTGTTAAGTGTTCAGCTCCTCCTCCTCCTCTTCCCTCCTCCTCTTCCCTCCTCCTCTTCCCTCCTCCTCCTCCCAATCGCCTTCCATCTCCTCCTCATCCTCCTCCTCATTCTCTTCTCGGTGGTCAGGAAGAAAACATATCAATGACAGGCTGCCGTTGAGAACCCGTCAGGGTGGTACTCCCTTGCATTTGTGTTGCGAACGCGTAGTGTTTCCTCAACAGCAACATGCTGATCGGTTCCCCACGGCGGCTTGTCATTAGAACTGTTTTTGCTCTCCGGTCCTCATCCTCCTCCTCCTCCTCCTCCTCCTCCAACTCCTCCTCCTCCGACTCCTCTTCCCTCCTCCTCCTCCTGCTCCTCCCACTCGCCCTCCATCTCCTCCTCCTCCTCCTCCTCCTCCTCCTCCTCCTCCTCCTCCTCCTCCAACTCCTCCCCAACGCCCTCCCTCTCATCCCCCTCCACCTGCTCTTTTTTGACCTCGCACCGCCATGCCTCCGAGCCTGGACTGCCATGCACTGAGCCGAGACACACACAGAACATAGCCACGAATTCTTACATTAATGCTTTGAATTCATCGCAGAAGACTGAAACTCCCTCCTTATCAGGGTGATAGCCTTTCTTGAGCTTCCTGAAATTCCGAATTCCAGTGACGGTGGGGGGCCTGCACACGCGGCCGAGGCCCAGCACCTGAGCACCGCTCGAATAAAATTTACAGGTCAAGCACACGAAAATATGAGAGGCATCGGAGCACGGCAGGGCGATCACCCTGTGTCCTAATCTCTCCAGCACACCCTGATCCAGTTTGGACTTCCCTGGGCACACGCTATCTGGCGGACATTTATCCTCAGGCATCGTGGAACCCTTTAAACACACCTCACACCTCCAAAGCCCACTCGAGCGCTTCCACGAGTGAGCCAGCACCAGTTTTGGGGCCGAGGGGGGAGGGTTGACTCTCTCGGAGCCTCTGAATTCAAGGTGCGGCCACTCCAACAGAATAGCAGCACCTAGCTTTAATACATGCTTGGCAATCTTAATTTTCCTGTCCAGCTCGTCAAGGTCACGCGGATCAGCAGAAGGGTGCCCCTGTAAGGCACTCTTCGCTATCTGGTCAGCATAGTAATTCCCTTGCCGCGCAAAGCGCTCGGAAGAAGAAATACCTTCCTCGTCCAAGGCCTTGTGCGCCTGCACCTTCGTGCAGGAGCGAAAAAATTTGCCAAAAAGATGCCGCGCTTGCAATATCGCTCCTCCGTACTGTTTTTTGTGGGAGAACGCTCGAGCAGCAGATAGGCCAGCCTGGTCGACTACATTCTTGCAGTCGATATACAGATCTGTCTCGGCAGAGGCGAAGCAACTCGACCAAAGAAACGCACCGAATTCCGCTCCTTGAGGCGTCTGCGGGCAAGGGGCCCAAAGAGGGCCCGAAACTTCCCCAAGGAGCGAACCGTCGTTAGAAACCATCGCAAGGCCCCAGGAGCTCCTCGAGAGCTCACGGACCAAATGCCGACTACAGGAACCGTCGGTAAAAACGTGCCCCCAGAGCCCATCAGAGGGGAGGATGGGATGAGAGTCGGGGAGAGGAGAGGGGACCTCTGCCACGTGCCACTTTATCTCCACCCCTCCACTCGAGGCCGGTTTTGGGAACACATCTCCAGGATGTTGGAAGCAACCATACAGAAACAATAAGCGGTCGTAACCTTCAGACGCGGTGTCGAGAGCTTCTTCTTGAATCCATGTAGGCACTACCTCATCCCGAATGGCACGGATCTCAGCACACTGACACTGCCACAGCCGATGAAAAAAAGGGTATCGTTGGCTTGACCGCAGCGCGCGCACAGAGGTGAATAGAAACGTATCCAGCAGCCACTGCATCGGTAGCCGTCCAGATTCCTCTGCAAGCGAGAGCCCTGATGAGGCCCTTGTCCTTCTTGGGTGCCTTAGAAGAGCCTAATCGGTGCTTGGCCACATCCCAACAAAACCTATGACCTGCCCCATAGCTGTCCCCAGAGTCCCGTTCCAGACCTCGAAGCACGGCCTCTTTGCAAAGCATCTTAATCATTTGGGGGGAATTCAACGTCATCGAGATTTCTCGGCCGAAATCGTCCTTGAGGCTGCAATAGTTCGGCATAGACCAGCCCAGCCTATACAGGGACATCCTAAGAGCAGAAATCGGGCCCGAAACTTTACCCCAACTGAGGTCGTCAACCTGAAAAACTTGCTCCCACCCAGCCCTGAGCTCGGCCCAGGACAGACTCCACGCGAAACTATGGGTCTGAAGAATCCAGATCTCTCGCGACCATCGGACTATCGGAGCCACGGCCGCCCTCCAGGGGGTGTCTCCCTCCAGGAGAGAGATGACAGACAGCGAGCGGCCTTGCGCGCGAGGCTTGATCGTACTCGTGCCCATCCTTCTCAAACCTAAAAGCTCACGGTCCGAAACCCCATAAACCTCGGTCTCGAAAATCCCGCCAGCCATAGGGCCAGCCGCAAAAATCTTAGTGGACGTTCGCCCGAGGGGCTTTTGAAGCTTCCGAAGCCTGCAAGCCTTGCGCGCCGCTGCCGCTAAACGCGCCTTCAACTTTGAGGCTCTGCCTTGTCCGCGAGCTCGGGCAGCTTTGCCAGCAGCTGCGTCGATACCTAAGTTGACAATGCTCGCCTTAGCTTCACCAGCCAAGGGCCCAAGCTGGTCATGGATGCTATTCGCAACACTCTTATGTGACGTCACAAGCCCAATCTTATCCATGGCCAGCTTACACTTAAGAGTGGCAGTGATAGCACGATGCAGGACCTTGGCACCTCGAACAATTCCCTGCACAACATCACGAAAAGAACCAGTCTTGCTCAGAGAGGTGTCGTCTATGTAAACGTCGAAATCGATTTTTACACTCCGAGGGGTCTCGTCAAAGGCCGACATCGCGAACACTCGGATCAGGGAAGTAGCCAGGCTACAGCCCGCAATGATCCCGTTTAACACGAAGTACGGGCCCTCGGCGAGACCATTCAGAGCAAAAAATCTCGCAGCCGAAAAAAGCGTTAATGGCAAGCCTGGCAAGGGAAAGCGGGAAGCCGTGCTCACGACACTTACCCCAGAGGAAGCCTAACCCGATGTGTTCATAATATTTCCTGAAGTCCCAATACAAGGAAGCCGAGAAATCTCCTTTGCGCGCGCCGGCCTCGGCTCGAAAGGCCTGTCTCCAAACAGCGTCGACAGGGCCTCGGTTGGCACCTGCAGCCCAATAAACCCTAGGATTATCAGCCTCCCACTGCGCAACTTCGTTCCTCCTCGCACTTCCCCACGCCCTATAGAAAGCAGGAAAGATTCCTATTGGACGGAACCCGCCCGTAGGCTTAGGCAGAAGCGCGAGCAGCACCCAAGCAATCTGTCTTGGCAGCCTGCCCGTAGCTTCAATGACAAACAGAAGAAAACTCATAGCCTGCAAAGCCTGGTCGCCAAGGACAGAAAAATGGCGGCAATGAAACCCGTCCAGGGACACAGCGCTTCGCTCCTGATAAGTTCCAGAAATGTCCCGAAGCTCTTGAGGAGTGAGGAGGGAGGAAGGCAAGAGGATAGAGTCATCTTCAATGCCCGTTCCAGTACCCCTTCCCCAAATGAGGTCGAATTTGTCTCCTTCAGCTTTCAAGAGGTGTTTGGGATCAGCAACCACAACCCCGTTGGAGGAAAGAGTGGTGGAGGGCGTCCAACCTTCAGGATCCTTCAAAGCGGCGTGGGCTCGACGGCCCCCGTTGTCCAGACCAGCGCGAAGCCAGTCATGCCAAGCAGTCCTCGAGGAGTTGGCCGCACGCGCCTTAGCTTTTGAACAAAGACCGATCACCTCATAAGCCAACTCCTCAAGTTCCGATCGAAATTCGGCCAACCTGTCCTGCGGCACGCTAAGGCCACGTTTGCCTAAGCTCGTGGCAACACGAAACACTACAGCAAAGTCGCTATCAGCTGGAGGCTGGACCGCAACTTCAGGATCAGCAAGAGACTTGAGGATATGAGATGCATTGCTAGCATTGACGGTCCAGTCCTGGCTGTGGCAGACCAGCGCGTGCAACTGGGCGTGCAACCAATAAATCGGCTCACCGTGAACGTCTCGCGCCCGCCCTGCAGGCTTGAGAACTGGCTTCCAGCACATCTGCGGACTCTTACTTCTGGCTCCCTGCGCAACAAGCCCCACGCCCATGATGTTGGCGAGGTCCCGCTCCGCAGACCTAGCCCAAGAGGAATAACCTGAGTCCAAAGTACTAACCGCCAAAGAAAATCGTGGTTAATAACTGCATCGTACCCCTTCCGAGCAACTTCCAAAGCCCCAGACCAGTCACCTTCCCGAGGCTGGGGGCCCACGGGGGGAACCACGGGAAGCGGAGGGGGGCGACGGAAGGCGAGAGCCTTGAGGTCCATAAGGGAGGGGTGGAATCCTAACTTGACGGGGAAGTGGGGGCTCGAACCAGCAAGGGTGCCCACCTGAATCGACTCGGTTCCTTTGGCGAGGGACCGCGAGACCAGAAAGAAATCAAAAACCGACGCCTTACCCTTGCTGGGAAAACACGTTTCACTCGAGGGGGAAATGATCTGGCTCGAGAGCAGGAGGTCGAACTCCGAGTCCACCAGGGTGCCTGGGGTCAAGTTCCATTCTCCCCCCAACACAAACTCACAGGACAGACTCGCCAACAATTCCCCCACCGTGGACAGAATTTTAAGGTTGCCCTCCGAGAGACCTTCCGAGTGGATAAGGTAGATAGAGACCGTGCAGATAGCTTCACAACCAGGCGCATGGATCATAGCTGCGACTGCTCTGCCAGGCACCAACACTGTGGTAGACGCTGCGAACATGCCGAAGCCGTCGCGCGCAAAAATGACGGTGCCCGAGCTGACCCCTCCACCTTCTCCAGGGATGCCTGGGCGCCGGGTCGATTTCCAGCCGAGCTTCAGAGCAGACGAAGAGGCTTGCGCAATGGCATCGGAGTCCAACAGACGATGCTCCTGGCCCAGGATGACTGACGCGTCCGACGACTCCAGGTACGACTTGAGAGTGCCCCAAGAGTTGAGATTGGCAGACACCACCAAAACTCCTCCTTCAAAAACTTCAAAACCACTTGGTCCAGGGCCCGTGGCAGATCCGACAGGTAACGGGGAGGTGAGGTTAGGAGGAGCCTGGGCGATGCCTGGGGGCACAACAACAGATCCTGGAAAGAGAGAAGCAGAAAAGGCCTGAAACCCAGACCGCTCGCTACCCGACAAACCAGGACACTGATGCAGCAATCTACGGAAATATCTGATACCCGACAGGTGCGACTTGGAGTTAATCACGGATTTCCTGTCGGCGTATTCTTTCAAAGCTAAAAAGTTACTAGCCAGAACACGCTGCCCTGGGCTAAAGAGAGTGCTGGCCTGCCGCGGCAGCTGCAGGTGCCGCCTGCGGCGGGGCCGATGCTGCCAATGCCTCGGCGGCCCGCTCACGCACGTCGCGCCCGTCGGGCTCTTGCCCAGCAGGCTCAGCCATCTCTGCATCGTGATCGCCTTCAGTTGGAACAGGTTCCTCACCTGCGTCCCGATCACCTTCAGCTGTGGCTGCAGCGGCTGCAGCACCCTGAACAGCAGCGCGTGGAACTTGAGCATCACCTTCTTCTGGCGCACCAGCTGGCTGTGCACCGCCCTCGTAGTTCTTTCTGCGCTTCGGGATGAGACGGGACATATGAAGGACGTGAACATTTTTTGCATCCTGCGCGGCGTTGACAACCTGCTTGAACAGATCCGATGCCAGCTTCTGCACTCCGTCGCGTAAAGACTCTTTCCGCTTCTCGAACTCCATGCGGTCGGTCTCCGTAACTTCGTACTCCAGGCTGAGCTCATCCAGCAGGTCACACGGAAAGAAAGAATTGATATCGACTTTGCCTTCGACCAGGTCGCCCAACGGTACAGGTGTGAACTGCGCCTTCGACACGTTGTTGGGCGTCCCGATCTTGGCACTCTCGTTGCATTCCGCCAAGGCATTCTTGTAGTCCTGGTCCGCCTTGGCCAGAGCGGACTTGGTCTCATGCATCTTGGTAGTAGCTTCCTCCAGATCATTCTGAAATCTGAGCATCCGCGCGAGGTCGGCCTCGAGCTTCTTCTCCAGCTTCTTGACGGCACTGTCGGCTTGCTGCAACTTCGTCTGAGGGGAAACAGCTGGCGGGGGCTTCTGAGCATTCTCCAAGTGCTTGGCGAGATCAGAGTAACGCTTGAACGCGGCCGAGTCCCCAGCCTTCTGCGAGAGCTCCGCGAGCTGCTTCGCCTCGGCCAGGCTGAGGTTCGGCACAGGTCCAGACGGGAGCGGAGGCTGGCCCGCTGCTCCTTTCCCGCCGCTTGCACCTCCTCCCATAGCTGCCACTCCACCAAGGCCTTTGCCCATGCCTTTTGAGCCAGGACCTCCTGCGTTGGAAAAGGGAGAAGCAGCGAATACACCTGGAGGTACACCATTCCAATCAGACACGTGAGGACTGCCACCAAACGGACTGCTCGGCACACTTTGCAGCGGAGCTTTGCAGTGCATGCAGTGGGACCACGTGAGGCGATTCTTCTTACAACCGCAACCCTGGCATACAACTTTGGAGGATGGCTGTCCCTGGGGCTTCCAACTTCCGTACTGCTGAGCGCCATGATACTGCGAGAATGGGGATCGCCAGTGGTTGTACCAACCCTGGCCTTTCATGAATAGCCGAAAGAAAACCTGTAAGGCCTCGGGCAGGCTCGAACAGGGATCGCGAGAGCACCAACAATAGCTCACTGCAAGCCACCTCGAGAAATGGATTACTTGAGCCAAAATGGCTTGAGCCAAAATGGCGTGAGCCAAAATGGCTTGAGCCAAAATGGCTACGGACCCCTCCACCTGCTCCTCCTCCTCCTCCTCCTCCTCCTCCTCCTGCTCCTGCTTCTGCTCGTCCTCTCCATCCTCTTTCTCCTCCTCCTCCTGCACCTCCTCCTCCTCCTCCTCCTCCTCTTCCTCCTCCTCTTCCTCCTCCCGACGATGCCCAAGAGGAGGGCGCTTGGCCCGCAACGGCCTCCCCCAGCTTCAGCAGCCAGCTGTTCGAGCTCCGCGTATCCAGCTGCTGCCCGTGTGCGTCGCGCTCGCCCTCCGGCAGCACCAAGGCGGCGTCGGGGGAGGACATCTGGTCCTCCGGCAGCACGGCGAGCTGCGACAGGTGGGAGCTGCAGGGTCCTGCCCCCCCCCCGCCCCCTCCCCCCAGATCCCAGACCCCCTCGAGTCGATGGACAAATCACGACGGCAGGTTTGGGCTATTTTCAGCCCCTCCCGGCCTCGGGACCGTCAGAACACGACTGAAACTAAGAAACCGCCCCTGGGGCATGAACAAACAAATCATGACGTCGGGAATGGTTCTTGCTCGCCAGAGCATGTGGCACGTGCGGAGCTACACTGTCAATGCCACTTTCTCCTGTGGCTTTGGTGTGCTCGTGCTCTCGATGCACACCGCTTAAGGCGGCGGAGGGCTTCAGAGATCCATCCAACAAATGGTCCCCTCCTGCGCCTCTTCCTTCCTCGTCCCTCTCCTTCCCCCAGATTTCCGACAACGAGATATTTTCCCATCCAGGAATTTCTCCCTGCGTTCGGCTCAGTGTGAAGCCCCGACGGCCAGCCAGTATAGGCCAGCTAGTATAGTATAAGCCGATAGCCAGTATGAAGCCCCCCCCCTGGGAAGTTGGCAGGACCTCTGGGTCGCGGAGTGGAAGCAATGTCTCCTCGCATGTCTTGGCCCAGGGGGGCAGCCGCGGGGGCAGGGCAGTTCCCTCCTCCTCCTCCTCCTCCTCCTCCTCCTCCTCCTCCTCTTCGTCTTCCTCCTCCTCATCCTCCCTCCTTCTCCGCCTCCGCCTCCCTCCTCCTCCTCCTCCTCCTCCTCCTCCTCCTCCTCCTCCTCCTCCTCCTCCAACCTCCTCCTTCTCCTCCTTTTTCGCCTCCCCCCGCCTCCTCCTCCTCCTCCTTTTCCGCCTCCTTTTCCTGCTCCTCCTCCTGCTCCACCTCCGCCTCCTCCTCTTGCTCCATTCCTTTTTTATAAGTAGCTTCTCCCTGTCGCACCCCGAGGCTAGTTTTTAGGGCGGACCGGGCGTTTCGCCTGAGACTTCCTCACCACTTATGACCCTGATACTTTACATTGACAACAGTTTCAAATATGGAGGGCGGGTGGTTTTCAAAATGTGGCTCTCGCCTTAGCGCGGCGCGCATTCGTTTTGAACATTTGCAAGCGTTCCACGGATTGAGCTTGGCCCGTTTTCAAAATGTGGCTCTCGCCTTAGCGCGGTGCACACTAGTTTTAGAAATGTGTTGGTGTTTCACATGTTGAGGGCGGATGGTTTTCAAAATGTGGCTCTCGCCTTAGCGCGGTGCACATTCGCTTCAAATATTTGCAAACGCTTCACGGATTGGGGGCGAGTGATTCGTAATATGTGGCTCTCGCCGCAGCGCGGCGCACATTCGTTTTAAATATGTGCAAGAGCTTAACATATTGAGGGCGAGCCGTTTCTTAAATGTGGCTCTCGCCTTGGCGCGGCGCACATTCGTTTCAAACAGTTGGAAGGGCTTCACGGATTGAGGGCGGTTCCTTTTCAAAATGTGGCTCTCGCCTTAGCGCCGCGCACATTCGTTATAACAGGTTGCAAATGTTTCACGGATCCCCATCATCAGCGTACCAGAAATGGTGTTTTGGACGGATTCAGGGTGATGCGGGTGCAACAATTACGTTGGTTCTCTGTGTTGAAGTCCTAAGAATGGCGTTCTGGCAAGATTTAAGATCGTCAAGGCGCAGCCCGAGAAGTGGCCTGCTTCAGGGTCTTCAAGCGGGCGTCCTCCAACGAGGCAGTTCCATCAATGGAAATGTAACGTAAGAGAGAGCTTGGACGGAGGGTTTACTCCAACATCGTTGATGACTCTTGGAAGTCTACTGGTCCTCCTCCTCCTCTTCCTCCTCGTCCGCCTCCCTCCTCCCACATCCTCTTCTTCCTCCCTCTGTCCCCCTTCCCCCTCCTCCGCATACCTGGCCCCTTCTTCCCGCACCCCCATCAACGTGCCCCATTTCCTCCTCCTCCTCCTCCTCCTTTTCCTCCTCGCCCCCCTCTCTTCCTCCGCGTCTTCGTTCTCTCCCTTCCTCCCCCCCAATCACCTCTCTCATCCCCCCCTTGTCCTGGGTCGTCGTCGTCGGCGGCGGCTTGAGCGCCGCCCAGGAGAGGAAGAGGCGGAACGAGCGGGCGCCTCTTGAGTAGGGTCGGACTGGGCCCGTCGAGAGGGGCAGCGTGAAAAGCATAGCAGGGTGGCGCGGTCATCCTGCAAGCTTTGGTGCGTAGGCGCAGGTGGCGCCGGTGGCCTGCTACCCAAAACGGTGCACAATTCCACCAGCACTCTGGGCGTAGGTGGTTTAGGGCGTTTCGCCTTCCACCTCTCCCGCTTCCCCTTGGGGGAAGGGTTTACCCCTCCCCCATTACCCCCCCCATTGACCTGGACGGGCGGCGCCGCGACTCAGTGGAACGTCCAAGATGGCCCAAGATGGCTCCGAGAAGGCCTCGGGGAGCCCAGGATGACTTCCAAGATGGCTCAAGATGGCTCAAAATGGTTCCCAATCTGCTCCAAGATATCCCAATAATGTTCCACGGCGGCTCCAAGTGGCCACGGAGGCCCCCAAAAGGCCAACAGCCTTCCAAAACCTGAACAGATCAATGAATTTGGCCGTCTCGTTTTTTTTTCGTTCGAGGGCCTTCCGAAGCCTCAAGATCGCTCCATGACGGCCCAATGGGGGGCCCAAGAGAAGCCCAAGAGAGCCCCAAGAAGGCCCCAAGAACACCCAAGAACGCCCCAAGGGCGCCCCAAGAGGGGTCCACGACGCGATTTTAGGCACTTTCGGAGGGCGAGGCGAATTGGAGCTCCTCCCTTTTTGGATCGATGTCCTCCAACATGGCCCCAATAGCGTCCCCAAGGGTCCCAGGCGCGCTCCAAGAGGGCCCCAAAAGGTACCCGGGAGGCACCAAAAGGCGCCCGAGAGGCCTCCAATAAGCTCCCACCAGACCCCAAAGAAGCTCCCCGAGGCGCCCAAGAGGCCCCCAGGACCGCCAAAAGGCCCCCGAGACGCCCCAACAGGCCTTCAAGTTCGCCATGTTCCTCCTCAGGCCAGCGGCACTCGTCGTCGCTCGAAGAATCCCTCCTCCTCCTCCTCCTCCTCCTCTTCCTCCTCCTCCTCCTCCTCGAGCGTAGCTAGGATGAGTCCGTTGGTATTATCCTTCATGCTTGCGCTATCGGCCTTGCGACCTGCGCGCGCGCGTGCACCTGGATATTCCCCGAACCTTCTCGGGGCTGATGGGTGGGGAGTGGCGATTACATTCGTTATTCCGGAAAAACAAAGACTGTGACAAGGAGGGAGGAAATAGAGGGAACCACGAGACCGAGGCGAGCGATCGGACGGGGATGGACAGGGCCGGAGCAGACACACGAGAGCGCGCGGAGAAAGTGCGGGCAGTTCCACAGATGCCTGAGGCTGCAGACTTCCTCGCACCCGAGATGACAAACTCGATTCTCTGGAAACGCCGATGCAGTGACCCACCCCCCGCATAAAGTTTTAATTACAGCAGCGCGCCAAACCGGAGGAAGGAGGATGACCTGGGTTCGCACCTCACTCCACGGGATCGAACGAATCTGCCTCTCGAGCCGAGGGAACCAGGACAACAGACGCTTCTGACCTCCTCCTCCTCCTCATCATCATCATCACGATCATCCGCATATTTATCATCATCCCCCGTCCTTCCTCATCGTCCTCATCCTGTTCTTCTTTCTCCTGCGAACGAGGCTGCCCCCCTCTTTGCTCCTATACCTCCATGATCACCTCTACTCGCCTGGGCGTCGCTTCTACTCGCCAAGGCGTCGTTTTCTGGATGGGCTGGTGGGGATGCTTTTTCGTTCGCGTGCGACACGGAGCAACCGCGCGCCGTCAAAGAGCGAAGCCACAGCGCCACGATCTAAATCAGGCACTAAGCGCGCAGGGGCGAACTACGCTGCGACTCAGTAGTCGAAGAGGACGCTGAGGCTCAGGCCCAAGTGGAACGCCAATGCCGACAAACAAGACCAGGAGGTGCACCAGGTCTGCGTGCAGCGCCAAAATGGTAAAGTAGGTCTCCCTGGTCCCCGAAGACCACCACCGCGTAGTCGAGGGGGACGACGACCACTGTCACGTAGTCGAGGAAGGCGAAACGTGCAGGCGATCAACGGAACACTTCGGATCGCCGGGGGGGACTCGTGAGACCGCGAGCGCGATAATGGCAGACGTCCGTGCGGGGGGGCAAAGCAAAGCGTCAATAATTTCCAAAAAGCCAGCGGCCGCACGTCAGCGGTCCCCAGAAGTCCCGACCCTTTCCCCAGGGCCGGTGCTTCGTCCCGAGCCGCTGTTGGACGGTCCTCGGACCAGGCGAGGGCCCTTCGCGGCCGAAAACGACCAAGGTGGCATCCCGTCCTGACTTTTTCAGGACGGCAGCGCGTCCGGGGGCGGGACAGGGGGGCAACTTCTTTATTCAGCGGCCGCAAGACGATCAGGCGGCGGTCGAACAGCGGCGGGGCTCGCGGGAGCACAGCGAAGCACAGGGAAGAGGGGGTGCGCGAGGCAAGGAAGGCCGGAGAGGCCGAAGGGTCGAGGGGCCGAGGTGCACTGACAAAGGCATTAGAGGGTCAACCGCCTTGGCGTGCCCGTCCTTTTCAAAATTGTGCTCCTGGGTCGCAGCCGTGCCTCCAACGGGATCTGCCATCCGGCGACTCGAAGACCGCGGGACACAGGAGCGGGCGCTTGGGCGTCCGCCCCTCGGTAGTAGAATACCCGCAGGCGCATCAGGAGGAGGAGGAGAAGCGGTACGAGCAGGGGGGCCACGAGGAGGCGCCGCAAGAGCAGGAGGACAAAGAGGAGGCGGAGGAGGAGGCGGAGGAGGAGGTGGAGCGTGCCTAAATGGAGGAGGGATAGGAGGAGCGGGAGGACAAGGAGGAGGAGGAGGAGGAGGCGAAAGAGGAGGAAGAGGAGCAGGAAGAGGAGGAGGAGGAGGAGGAGGAGGAGGAGGAGGAGGAGGAGGAGGAGGAGGAGGAGGGAGGAGGGAGGAGGAGGAGGAGGAGGAGGAGGAGGAGGAGAAGCTCGAGAGGCAACAGTCACGGAGACAACTATTAGTTTAGATCTTGCTTTGCTGGCCCAGTGTATTTTGTCTCCAGAGGGCCTCTGGGATACCTCTCCAAGCGGCATCCAGGTTGACCACTGGAGAAACCCCAAGACTAATCCAAAATGGTCCCCAAAGCGCCCAAGACTCGCAACGACGGCCGCGACGCCATTCAAGACATCTCCGAGATACTCCTGAGATCCCACCCCAGACGGCCATATGACCCCCAACATGCCCCGAAGACCCCAACATGACCCCAGCATGCCCCCGACAGCCCGCTGGTTCTCCCTCGCAACCACAAATGGTTGCCAAGACGGCCCAGGGCGCGTATCGAGGCAATCTGGTAGGGCCAAGTCTGCCCCCAGATTCTCTCAACGGGGCCCAACGAGGCCCTCAATATGAGTGGTTCGGGTAGGCGGGTGCTTGTTAATGATATGCGGGAACGTTCGGGGAAGGTCCTGGGGTGCGTCTCGGAACCTTTGGGGAAGGTTCGGTTGCCCCCCTGAGGCCTCTTGGCGTCTTGCCAGTGCCTTCCAATGGTATCTGAGGTGCCTCCTCCAGGTTATCCGTGCCAGTTTCGGAGAAACGGGCGGTGAACGCAAAGCGTTTGAATCAGCAACTCGTGTACTTCTCCTGTGGTGGACCATCGTGTGGCCAAGACACCTCAGAGCAGGAACACTCACTCGGCCTCGTCCACATCCTCCTCCTCATCCTCCTCATGCGCGTCTCTGGTGTGGTCATTCTGGGCGTCTCCAGGGTGGTCGTCGTGATCGTCTGCCGAGTGGTCCTCATCGTCCCGGTCCTCGTCGTTATGATCCTCTTCCTCCTGGCCCTCGTCGCCCGATCAGTCATCCTCGTGAGTGTCTGCGGGGTGGTCCTCGTCTGCGAAAAGACCCTTGTCCTCCTGGCCGTCTGCGGAGCGGTCACCGTCTGCGGGGGTGGCCATCTTCCTCCTGGTGGTCCTCCTGCTCGTCCTCGCTTTCGTGCTCGCCTTCCTCCTCCTCGTCGCCCTCGCCCGCGTGCTCGTCGCCGTCCTCCTCCTCCTCGTCCTCCTCCTCATTCTCCTCTTCCTCCTCGAGGTCCTCGTCCCCGTCCTCAGTGGAAGTCGAGGTGGTAGTCGAAGGGGTGGTGTTTGTGGCGCTCGCGGTGGTGGTAGTGGTGGTGGCGGTGGTGGTAGAGGCAGTGGTGGTGACGGTGGTGGTGGTGATGATGGTCGTCGGTGTAATGGGACCTGTGGTGTTGGCTCCGATCTTGCGATGTTCTCCGCGTCGTCGAGCTCGGCATCCCAATCCTCACTGATTGGATAGTTAAAAGTCTGCTTGAACCGCTCGAGGGGCTTCTGCACGTGCATGGCAATATTGCCCGTCAGACCTTCTGGCAACCCAACGAAGGCCCCCTCGCCACCCGCCTCTTTGAAAAGCATCCCGGATGCTACACTGTCGGACCCCATGGCTGGATTGGCCTGTTGGGCGTCGTCAGGATGACGCACGAAACTGCGGAGGGAATCCGCGTCATGGACGACGAATGCGCTGCCGCGCGACTCCTCGTGGCCGCCTGAGACGAAGCGAATTTATACTGAGCCCAGAGTGCTCCAAGTAAGTCGTTGTGGCCTGTAGATTTCAATGCCTGGGTGCTGCTAGAAGAGGCACTGCATATTGATCTTGACCATCGCGCAGCGGATCGTCGGCGAAGGCTGCATGGCGTAACCGTGCTGGCCCCTGTTGCAGGCCAGCGCCCGGGGACTGATGCTGTTCAAGGAAAACACCGTGTCGCTGATGTGCTTCTTGTGTTCCTCGAGTGGCGCTGGCGAGAGGTTGATATCCAGGCCTCCGACACCACCCTTGGTGCCACATCCCATACCGACGAAGACCGAGGAGGCACCGGTCTGGCCCACTCGAGTACTGGAACCTCTGCACCACTGGGCCGAACCACTGGACGTTCCGTTGCACAGTGATGGCCCTCGGCACCACCGACCGCTCGGGCTCGTGGCGAGACATCTCTTTGCAACATCCACGGGCCGCTTCTGTTCCAGGCGACCCCTTCTTCGCCATGCAATACTTCGGCTTCCACTGGCCGCCCAAGCGGTCGCACTCCTTCCGGGTCGTGCAGTGGTCGAACCGGTTCCTGCCGCAGAAATATCCAGCGGCTCTGTGCGCCTGGTCCCAAACGGAGTCCGAAGACTTCCACTTTCCCGAGACTCGTAGAATTGCTATGGGTGCCCTTGTACTCTGTGTCTCTAATAACGTCAATCGACTTCCGCAAAGAAATGGTCGAAGGCATCTCCTCGTCTCCGAACAGCAGATCGATTTCAATGATAGCGGGGCGCTTCATCACGACCTTCTTGAACTTGCCACCTGCATCCTCCCAGACAGACTTCTGGGCCATCAAGCGCGGAGAGTCGGACATGTTTGACCAGTCTCGGCTTTGGCCTGAAGTAGCCGTCCGGGTGCCAATCGCCCAGTTTGATCACGTGCTCCCTGTTCTCCTCGAGTAGGTGCTGGCCGACTGCATCGTCCACAGGCTGCTGGAACAACCAGCCCGAATTGGGCTGCACTTTTTGATAAGCCGTCCCAATGAACCCCATACAGAAACACTAATCACTGTCTTCCGCCAGTAGGTCTCCGAAGACCAGGTCTGACACGCCATGGTCGAGGGCGAATGCGGCGGCGCTACCTGCGGCCAAATCGGACGAGTACGCGTCGCCCTTGCCCAGAACCGAGCCAATTGCCCAATACCGAACGCTATCTGGGTCCAAATCTGCAAGACCCTTGTGAGGGATCTGCGTGTCGCCTCTCCGGAATTGCACGCCCATTGGTCCGATGGCACTGCCGTGCGCGATGGACATGTGGACATGGACACGGAAAACGAGGAGTTGTGGCCTTGCTCCTGCTTCTGAATAAACACCTCGAGGCTAAGCACCTCCTGCTCCTGAGCTTCGTCACTAAGGTTGAGATCGCGCACGGAAACACGTGCGGCCTGGGCGACTGCCAGGATAACGACGAAGCAAGCAAATCCCGCCACGCTGGAAGATAATTCTGCCGATTAGTTCCGCTGACGCATTTTGAATGATCTTTGAATTATTGAGCCAAGGTGGCATGGATACGGACGCATAGGATATACCCACTCTGGGATATTGGTCGAAATAACTTCGGCAGATGGCAGGGAGGTTGAGCTACGTAGGCGGGGACAGGAAGATGTCGAGAATGATGACATTCCAAGCGCTGTCAAGGTCGCCTGCAGGTCGCACACTTCTCAAGACCTGCAAAATGTGCGGCTTCATCGGCGTGCTGCATGCCATGAGCGCCGGTCCAAAACCTTTCCCTCCTTGAGCGCCTCTCCTCTCATACTCACTCTCCTCGTCCTCGGTGCGCTTCATGCCATGAAAGTCGGCGCAAAACGGCAACTCTCCCCTCTCCTCCTCCCTCCTCCTCCCTACGCTCCTCCCTCCGCCTGCCTCCACCGTTCATTGCCATCATCTCTCGTCCTCCCCACTCCCCCTTTCCCATCCTCCTCCTCCTCCTCCTCCTTGTCCTCCTCCTCCTCCTCCTCCTCCTCCTGCTCCTCATCCTCATCCTCCTCCGCCCCCTCTTTCCCCTCCTCCTCCTCCTTCTTCAACTCTTCCTCCTCCTCCTCCTCGTCCTCCTCTCCCTCCTCCTCCTCAACCTCCTCCTCCTGGTCCTCCTCCTCCGCCCCCTCTCTCCCTCCTTTTTTCCTCTCTCATCCGTCCCTCCCTCCTCTCACTCCTTTCCCTCCCCCTTCTACCTCGACCCTGGGCCCGGGTTCTGTTCCCCGGGGTCCTGCCGCGTGCAAGGCTGCCGGTTCCTCCTCGCAGCTGGCGGCACAAGGGGTATATTTTCTCTGAGAGGGGGGGGGCTTTAGACACAGGGATTGCTGCAGAGTGCTGGGGGAGGTTATCCATCGCCCTCCTTGTACAACACGCCGCCGCGTGGTCCGTCTCCTCGCCACCCTCATCCTCGTCCTGCTGCTGCTCCTGCTGCTGCTGCTGCTCCTCCTCCTCCTCCTCCTCCTCCTCCTGCTCCTCCTCCTCCTCCTCCTCCTCCTCCTCCTCCTCCTCCTCCTCCGCATCATCCTTGCCTTCGCCCTCGCCCCCCGGCCCAAATGTTTCATCTCCGCAGCGAGGAGAGGGAGGGAGGGAGGGATGAAGGGAGGAACGGGGAGGAGGGAGAAGTGGGGGGGGATGAGGAGGAGGGGGGAGGGAGGAGAAGAAAGAGGAGGAGGAGGAGGAGGAGGAGAAGGAGGAGGAAGAGGAGGGGACGGAGGGAGGTGGAGTGTGGGGGGAGGGGGAGGGGAGGGGGGAGGAGGGGGGGAGAAAGAGGGGGGAGGAGCTTGGTTGGTTGGTCGGTTGGTGGGGCGACCCTGGCAGATCGAGGAAGAGAGGGCAGGGGGGAAGGAGTAGGGGAGCAGGCTCCCCCCCCACTGCGCTTGGCCCGTGGGTCCTCGGCGCTCCCCGGCTCCAGCGACCGCCCCGCAGGCTCCGCCTCTGCAGCGGAAGGCTCCGCCTGGATCCACCGGGGCGGCGGGAGAGCTCCACGAGGAGGGACGGGAGGCCTGGACGAGGAGTGGAGAAGAGGTGTGGGGAGGAGGAAGGAGGAGGAGGAGGAGGAGGAGGAGGAGGAGGAGGAGGAGGAGGAAGAGGAGGAGGAGGAGGAGGAGGAGGAGGACGACGAGGAGGATAAGGTGAGGAGGGGGAGGAGGAGGATGAGGAGGAGGGACTGTCCAGAACGGGAACCCCAACCGAACACATAGGAACGGGGAGGGGCCGAATTGAGGTGCACAGGGCACCGACACGGCCCAAAAGGGCCGACGACGAGGCATCGAAAGAGGGCAGCCACCCACCAGGCCCATCCAGACGTCGGGGGCGGATGGCGTCAGCCAGGGAGCAAGACCCGCAGGTCGGGGAGAGCCCCACGGGACACAAGAGCTGGCCGCGGGGTATCGCACCAGCAGCAGAAACAGCGGCTTAGTCAGACGATCCAGAGTCCACCCCCCCGTCCGACCCGACCTCCACCCCCCCGTTGGCCGCCTTCACAGGGCGGCATGCGGCAGGCGCGGCACTGCCAGAGGCAGCGCCCAGGGCGGCAGACGGGAGGGGGATGGGCCGCCTCGTCTTGGAACCACGTCCAGCGGCAAGGGATTTCATAATATACCGAACGCTCGCCAACGTAGACTTCTTGAATGGCGGCCCACTACGACCTCCTCTAGTTTCTTAACATACGTCTCGATTTTAAGGCTGTAGTGGTAGTGGCCACGAAACTCACAAATACCCGCGGGACCCCACCAAACCAAACGATGGCCACTACCTATTTTTTTTGGGGGGGAGGGCGCGCACCTGGAGTTGAACAACGTTGTAAAGTCTCAACGGTGCTAGCAGTTTTGAACCAGCACCTGCATTTCACGGCATCATCCCCTCAGGAGCCATATCATGATCAGTAATACTCAGCATGGAAACCATGGGCCCGTTTGTATTTGTTTCTGGACTGTCTCTCCAAGACTGCGGTGCATCCTAACCGCCCTCGAGGCCACGTGCGCTGTGTACTTGACGATATCCTTTGACAACTTGATGAGACCTCTGTGATGTTCGGCGAGGGCGTCGGCCATTTTGACTCCCATGGCCCCTGCATATGCGAAACAATCTGCCCAAGCATCCCCATGTGCATGCGCAAGGGAACCTCCAGCTTCAATGAACATATTCATACCCTTGTGCGGTGGCACCCAGATAAACTCACAACGGACCTCATCATCACCGCATACATGAAAGATCTTCCTCCGCAGCGCTGCGTTAGGAGATCCGCTGGCCTCGAGTTCGGGGCTCCACCTCTTGGCCTCCTCCACGAACGAGGGGTGGTCACTGGCGATGGTCCCGGGCCGCCTAGCGTTCATCAGCGCTCGGTAACCTGCATATCATTCACCCCGCGGCACTGTTTGATCTCGCCCAGGCAGCGCGCCATACTGGGCGCGCACTGGGATGCCAGTGGACGGAGAAAACTGCACCACCGGCCAGCCCACTCTGCACAAGGTAGGGTGGCTGTTGCGCATGCCCGAAGCATCGCAATAAGTAATGTCCATCAACTCGCCATCAACATCTCCAAAAAACATAATCTCCGGATCACTGTCAGAAAACCGCGGCTGGAACGGTTCTAGAGGCAATCCGTCTGCCAACTCGAACGTGTCGGGGTCATTAATGTTCTCTTCGACCAGCTTCAGTCCTGACTGCCGAAACTCCTAGTCATCATCTGGCACCACCTCAGGACGCGCCTCCGACGGTTGAAGTGTAGCAGGCGATGCACTCCATTGCTGAGACAGCGCCCCTTCGGCGCGCCACAATAAGGGCATTCCCTGGAGACTGCGATGCCTATGTCACCCGCTCGATCAGGGCAGAATAAGCCACCAGCCCATGGCTTCCTCAAAGCCCCTCTCAGACGGGCCCCTGCTTCACATCGGAAAAACTAACCTCATCGCCCTTCTCCAGATCTGCTCACCTCCAATCCGTTCAGGCAGGCGTTGTCCGATACGAACTATTTGCATTCTACCAATTGGTTTGACAATCCTCTTCCCCAGGTCTCGCGCAGCAACCTGTAGCAATGAACACATCTGCCCCGCATCGCAAATAAATGCAGCAGGTCCTGCATACGTCCACTCAATTCCCGACAGCAAGAGCCACGCCGACGACACAGGTCCGCGGGCCAGAGCCCACGTAGGCTTGACCTCTCGAAACTTGTCGCGCACCGCTCGTCAAGTATGATATAACCCAAATAAAGAAACACGCGCATCCCAATGTGAAACTGCGGTGCCGCTTGATCAACATGATGGTGGAGTCAAACACTGGGCCGAAACAGTCATCACGTTTCGTAGAACAGAAGGTAGAGCGTGAGCGAGGCATTCCTGGCGGCGCCAGGCATGCCTCCTAAAAAGGAGCGTAGCTGCTTGAGCACAGTGCCGGACGCACCACTCACCCCTGCGCCGTGCCCTGCTGAAAAGGAGGAGACCCGGGCACCATATTACTCCCACGCGCTCGTGCACCGCTCGTCGCAACGCGTGTGCCTTACCAGCACGCTCCTTTGACTTCGCCAGCCACGCACGCTCCTGCACCCGACCCGCTCTAACACCATGAAGTTCGTTCGTGCTCAAGATTTCGGAGATGAGGCCTGGGTTGCAATTTCATACATTTAACACCCCGAGAAGGAGCCCTCCTGAGCCCGAACACTAGTAGCCGCGAGCCCCGACCACGCATTCAGAACCGCTGCCTCTCGAGGGTCGGGCCATTGCAACAGCAACGCGAAGTCGTCCATGAGCACGCGTGCTGCTATATTGTCGCATAAGTTGTACAAACTATCTGCCACCCGAGGAAGCACCATCATCAACGCAGAGGTCGCATGAGTACTTCCAGCTAGAATGCACTGAAGAGCAACATGTAACGAGCTAACATTACCGCACGCTCTGACAGCACGTAGGACTCGACACGACTGGCGGACCAGCTACATCAGTCTCAACGGGCACTCGAGCACGCGCGCCTCCCGAATAGTCTGTCCCATAATACACTTAAACATGTCAAGGAATTGCAGCGGTCACGTGTAATGTGCGCGCGTGCCCCGCCTCAGCCTGTAAGTTCAACGGACATGCGCAGTCCGATGATGAGCGGCCTGCAACACTGCCCCAGAAATATGGATACCGATGACATTTCTCCTGAGCCGCGCTAGGGCGCCGTCGAGATCGGCCCCATATCCTCAACATTGTTGAGCAAAGCGATGACTCTGGTACCACCGCTTCGCTTGGGCAGCATACGCAACTCTGTGATCAACTGCGACTGAGGCCACATCAAAATATGAGCACACTTCATGAATAACGCTGCCAAGGCCTGCAGCCCAGTACCACCAGCAAACCACACATACCGAGGAAGAGCGCGCACTTGCCCGCCACCAATGCGTCGAGCAGCAGGCATGATCACTGTGCGTAGCTGAGCGCCCGTGACCACTTTGCACAGCAGAGGTCCCAGGTATCTGCGCCATCAGGCCGAGAAAGCTCACCGGCGTCGTGGGTGCTCCAGATATTCTTCCGTGTGTCCAATTCCTGATCAGGTAGCAGCGATGGTGTATAATGACCGGACGCGCTTGCAGCACTTGCCGCAGGGCTCGGAGGCGTGTGAATCGGTGAGCATCGCGTCCTCCACTCTTGAACGCCTCCTCTGCCCACTGCTGCCGCTCTTCCCTGCGCTGAGACGAGTGGAGATGTTGCACCAACTGCGCCTGCGGCATCGCCCGCTCCAGCTTCCGCTCTGGCTCGCCATCGCTGAACCACGAAATCCAACCCGCGCGCAAGGAACTCACGAGCCGAATCACCCAGCGTACGGCGCGCATCAGCAGCGCGATATACCCTGTAAGAGAAATCTCCAGGTCATAGAAGCGCACTCCCATACTCTCGACGTTCGACGGCTTGGGCCCCTTTCGTGCGCTAGCTCCGCTTCGAACCGATGCGCCCAACATTCCGTCGCACATGGAGCGGTCGCGCGGTTGCCCCTGGCTCGGGGGCGGGGGGATAAAGTGCTCAGAGAGCTGCCCCCCTCCCCGCCCAGGCCGTCGCGCCGCCCCTCAAGGCTGCTGCGGGCCCGCCCTCGATGCCCAACCAGCGACGGCTCGCTCTCCACTCCTCGCACCAACAGCGGCACGGCGCGGCGGGGTGCCCGCGGGCACCGCGGCATGCCCGCCCTGGGCGCCGCCGAGCTCCCCGAGAAGCGGGCCAGAGCTCGTGCCGCGCACTGCAGGTCCCCCGCAGAGCGGGCCATGTCCTCGCAGAGCCTCCCCGAGAAGCGGGCCAGAGCTCATGCGCGGCGCAGCGGGGACCCCGAGTAGCGGGCCAAGTCCGCGCTCGAGCCCCCCGAGAAGCGGGCCAGCGCGCATGCCCGGCACTGCGGGGCCCCCGAGGAGAGGGCTCCAACCCCCGATGAGCGGGCCAGAGCTCGAACCCAGTGCCGTAGAAATCCCGCGCAAACGCGGGGGCCCATGCCGGGCCCCCGCGGCGACGCTGAGCCTGGTCGCCGCAGTGGCGCACCAGGACATGGCGATCTGGCGCCCGCGGCGGCTGGGCCTGGCAGCCGCGCGCTGGCGCCAGCATGCCCCGCGCATGGCCCCCGGATAACCCTCCGGGAAAGTCTCGAAGCCCATGTCCGACACTGCCCCTTGATAACTGCGAACCCCTCCCCCGCCGCCACTGCAGGGGCAGCAGCTGGAGAAATCAGATGCAGCAGCGCGACCATGCATGCCGCCATGCCCCGATTATGCCGAGCCCATTCCTCGGCCACTCTCCGCGCGCGCACGCTGCCGCGGCCCGCGTCGCGAAGTCCGTCTGGGCCCCCTTTTGAAAGCATCCACTTCGTTCGCGCCGGGAGAAAGGCAACGCGCCACTCGTTCACCGATGGCGTCGGCCCGTCCTGCAATCTCGAGCTCGACGGTGTCGCCCACAGCCAACCATGCTTCAGATAGTTGCTCGGCCGAGTGCGCCCGGG